ACCAAGAATGTTGAAGACCTTCACAATTCAGGGAAGACCTTTAAGAATCTGAATGGAGGCCAGGCAACTTGCCTATAGCCAAACTCCAGATACCACAGTCTTTACATGGGCTTCAATTAATGACCTATTATTTTGAGGAATTAGACCACAAAGGAGGCTGAGCGCTGAAGAATTGATGCTTTCCAGTTGTGGTGTTGGAGAAGACTTGTGAGAGTCTCTTGGACTGTGAGGAGACCCGATCAGTCAGTCCTGAACGAAATCAATCCCGACTGTTCTTTGGAAGGACAGATCCTGAAGCTGAAGTTCACATACTTTGGCCACCAAATGAGAAGAGAGAACTCCTTGGGGGAAACTGATGGTGGGAAAGGCGGAAGGCAAAAGGAGAAGGGGACTGTGATGACCTGGGGCATGGCACAAAGGCAACACAGTCAGATAATCAGTAGGAGTCCCTTTATTAGCTTCAACTTTGCCTCCAATGTCCTGGTTATCTTCTGGCTGGAGGAAAACTCTCCCAGGAACAGCCTTTGGCTGCAGAGAATCAAGTCCAAAACATGGTCAACAAAAACTGTAACTATAAGTCCAATCAAGGCAAAATGAGGTAATTAGTTTGGCAGGGCAGGAGAAGGAATTCCAGACTTGAAGGCACGGCCATAATTCAACCCGGTTGGGAGGATGCCAGGAACGCAGATAACCAAAGTCAACACAAGATAAACTCACGTTTGTTCCCAACAGATGCCACACTTAGCTTGCATCTCTTTTAAACTCTTAATCCCAGGTGTGGCTAATGAAGGGAATCAGGGCCCTTTCCTCCCCTGTAAGCCAGGCAACCCACATTGCTCTCTCCTCTGTTCCACCCTGCGTGCCCTAGAATGAAGAGGAGTGGGCCTGGGTCTTCCTCTGAACTCCCTCTCCCTTGTTCTACCTCTTTCCTGCTCTGCCCAGCCAGACTTTGCCCTTCCCCAGTTTCCTCCACAGCCAAGGAAGCCATTCTCTTGCTCCCTGGCAGCTGTTCATCTTCCTCTTCGGATTCAGACTACGACGGGCATGACAGGGACATCAGAGGATGAGATGGTTACATAGGGTCATCAAGGCAATAAACATCAATTTGGGCAAAGTTCGGGAGACTTTGGAAGACAAGAGAGCCTGGCCGTGAAGAGTCAGACATAACTTAGTGACTGAACAACTGCCACAAAAACAACACTGATAATTCTGAAGGAAAGAATTGGAAGCCTTCCTCCATCGTCCCAATTCCCCATCAAAAACTGGGGTCTTCTTTTCAATTTTGGAATATCAAATTGAGTTCCTCTGGATGGCTCTCTCTTCCTGGGTTGTGGAGAGCTTTCATTCCACATTCATTCTTGATTTGAGTGCATTGTTTTAAGAACTTGGATCTGCTGAATAGTTACAGGAGACCTATTAAGCCTCACCAAATGCTCGCTTGCATCTCACGGAGACATTCTTGCTGTTTTGGGGAGACGAAAGATGGAGATAACTTCTCCCCTCCAAGTGATACTATAGGGCACTGCACGTCAGAACAACTAGACACAAGGACCGTTTCCATTCCCCCCCCTGCCCCCAATGCCATCACTCTGCTAAACAACCAATTCCAACACTGTCAAACAATCTAAAAAGGCAGTATTGCCATCATTATTCTCATCTTCCCTATTACCTATCCCCTACACCTATATATTACTTTTAGCTATACCAAACTATAACTTTGTTGCTTATCACTATTGTTATATGTACATTGAGAGCTTACGCATTGGAAACAAATTCCTTGTGTGTCTAATCACATTCGGCCAGTAAAGAATTCTATTCTGTTCTGTTCTATTCCAATTTCTATTCCAATTTCTATTCCAATTTCTATTCCAATTTCTATTCTATTCTATTCTATTCTATTCCAATTTCTATTCTATTCTATTCTATTCTATTCTATTCTATTCTATTCCAATTTCTATTCTATTCCAATTTCTATTCTATTCTATTCTATTCTATTCTATTCTATTCTATTCTATTCTATTCTATTCTATTCTATTCTATTCCAATTTCTATTCTATTCTATTCTATTCTATTCTATTCTATTCTATCCTATCCTATCCTATCCTATCCTATCCCATCCCATCCCATTCCATTCCATTCCATCCCATCCCATCCCATTCTATTCTATTCTATTCTATTCTATTCCATTCTATTCTATTCTATTCTATTCCATGCCATTCCATGCCATTCCATGCCAATTTCTATCCTGTGCTATCCTATCCTATTCTTATTCTTATTCTGTGTTCCGTTCTCTTTTCTATTCTGTTCCATTCTGTTTCTATTATTTCTTCTGCCACGAGAGTTTCTTGGATTGCTGCATTGTCCACGGACCATGAAGGATTTATTTATGGCTTTCCATGTCAGTGAAAAACAGCCAAATGGTGAACTTTTTCCAATCCCTGTTCTTTTCTGGAAATAGGGTTCCCCTACAGATCAGCCCCGAACTTCGGGGTAATACGGAAAAAAATTAAAGTTCTCCTCCTTTGAAGTCCCCTTCCACATTTCCCACAAGTCCCTGTGTCCTTCTGGGCATTGTGGGTAACTAAGATGGCAGGAGGCGAGCTGGAACCAGACCGCTTGAGATCATTCCAATCTATTCTGCTCTTGAATTTCTACTTAACTGTCACACTGGAAGAGAAAAGAATTGCTCAAGTTTTCCCCCCTTCCAATGGACACCCAAACAGCTCTCTTGGTCCCACCCTTTTGTAATTATCTCATGAGAACGAGTCCCTAATTTTATTGACATTCTCTCCCCTCCTCTCCTCTTTTTGGTTTTGTTAAGTTTCTGAGGAAAGAAGCCCCTGGCTATAATTTTAGATGCCACAGCTCTCTGCCTGCCCTCTGTGTCTGATCTCACATCCAAAAACATAATTCAAGGCAGAATGGAAAGCTGTTCCTTTCTCTTTCTCTCTTCTCTCTTCTCTC